ATGGATTTTTAAAGACTATAGATAACAGAATGATAAAAAAGAAGTTTATATAGTCACTATAGTTATTTATACAACATATGTTATGTTTGCCAGTTTTCTAACCCCCTCAAGTAAAAAGTGTCAATATTGAAAAAAAAAGGACTTGAAAAGCCTGCTGACTACTTTAACACAATCCCACTTTCCCACTTTATTTAATCTATAATACACACACACAAACTATATTTAAAACTCTTAAAGGCTGCAGATTCACATACTCAAAGGCTAAGAAACACCAGAATAAAGGTGTTCACACTCTCTCCACTGCCCTTATGTTATCACGCTTTCTTTAAATATATAACCACGTAAGGCTTCTTTTCTTTTTCCTTAATGCAGATACCTGATTGGAAGATCACACCTAGTCCTCATTCCCTGACAAAATATACAATGATGTTGCCAATCACACCAACTAAGAAGTAAGTTCTTTGAAGAAAAGGTAGCTGTAATTTCTTTCATGGATTTACAAAGAAGGTGCAATGCCAATGAACATTACTATCATCCTCACTTATAACATTATGATAAGCCCTCTTTAGAAAGTTACACCTGACATCACTCAAAGGTTCTCTGGCACCCCACGCTATGCATGACCTAATTTTAATGACAATCACTTTGACACAATGCACTCCTCTAAATAACCTCATAAGAAAAGGATTTATTAATATGAATTATTCATTTATATGCGATTTCATAAAGCAATGAATCCAATTTATTAATACTAATCTTTGTGGAGACAAGTTTCATAGCCTAATGATGTTCCTCACTGCAATATGTGACTGCAGGATGATTTCTGATTGCAAGTACTTGCTCTCTAGGGCCTTGAAGAATGTTTCCTAAAACTTTCATTTAGGGACTCTTCCACAGCATTCAGCAGAAGATGCTGTTTCTCTGTCTGATTATGGCATTATTAGGGAACCAAGAAAGAGTGATTGCACAATTGAAACTACTAGTAACATGGCTGAGCCTTCCTCCTTTAGATTGAAAGTGATATTCAGGCTATGATGCAGTGGCTCCAAAATTTGCTTATGGCAAAAGGTAAGTTAAATAGTGCTGGGCTCAGTGCTGCTGTGGCAAGATCATCGTTAACATAATTAACTGTGCCAGTCATCCTGTCCTAACTACAGTGTATTGCTGACATGAACATAAAGCATGAAAATCCCTTATTTCACTACTACTTGCAGTTCTGTACCATTATTCTGTATGTAAACAGAGAACTACTGTCTCTTTCCACTTGCAGTAAAGCTTTGCTGGAGGTAAGCGTACGTGGAAATAAAGAATATGCAAAGATCATCATTAGAGTTGTTTCAAAAGTGTGCAAAAAGAAATACTGAAATACCCTTGACACTATTTTCACCATCACTGTACACGTTAATGCAGGCAGATTCCCCGATTGGATTTTTAATCAATCCCACAGTACACTTGAAGATACCTAGAATCATAGAATCATAATTTTGTTTTGGTTGGAAGAGAAATTTAAAATCATCAAGTCCAACTGTTAACCTAGCACTGCCAAGTTACTGCTAAATCATGTCCCTTAGGACCACACCTAAACATCTTTTAAATATCTTCAGGAATGTCAATACCACTTGCCTAAGCAGCCTGTTCCAGTGCTGGATAACCCTTTCAGTGAAGAAATATTTCCTAATATCCAATCTGAACCTCCCCTGGCGCAACTTGAGGCCACTTCCTTTTGTCCTATTGCTTGTTACTTGGAATAAGAGACCAACCCCCCACCTCGCTACAACTGCCTTTCAGATAGTTGTAGACAACGATAGGGTCTCCTCTCAGCCTCCGTTTCTCCAGGCTGAACAACCCCAGCTCCCTCAGTCACTCCTCATAAGACTGGTCCTCTAGACTCCTCACCAGCTTCGTTGCCCTTCTCTGGACCCACTCTAGCACCTCAATGTCTTTCTTGTAGTGAGGGGCCCAAAACAGGACACAGTACTTGAGGTGGGGACTCACCAGTGCTGAGTACAGAGGTACAATCACTTCCCTAGACTTGCTGGCCACATTATTTCTGATGCAGGTCATTTCTGTTGGCCTTCTCAGCCACCTGGGCACACTGCTGACTCATGTTCAGCCGACAGTTGACCAACACCCCCAGGTCCTTTTCTGGCAGGCCACTCTCCAGCCACTCTGCCCCCAGCCTGTAGCGCTGCATGGGGTTGGTGTGACCCTACCCCCAAGCGCTGCAGGACCCAGCACTTGGCCTTATTGAAACTCATCCTGTTGGTCTCAGCCCATTGATCCAGCCTGTCCAGATCCCTCTGCAAAGCCTTTCTACCCACAAGCAGGTTGACACTCCAGCACAACTCGGTGTCATCTGCAAACTGACTGAGGGTGCACTCAATCCCCTTGTCCAGATCATTGGTAAAGATGTTAAACACAACAGGCACCAGTACTGAGCCCTGGGGAACACCACTTATGACCTGCCACAACTGGACTTGACTCCATTCACCACCACCACCCACCACCTCTTTCTGGGCCCAGCCATCTAGCCACTTTTTATCCCGCAAAGCACAAGCCCATCCAAGCCATGGGCCGCCAATTTCTCCAGGAGAATGCTGTGGGAAACTGTCAAAGGCTTTACTAAAGTCTAAGCAGACAAAATCCACAGCCTTTCCCTCATCCACTAAATGGGTCATCTTGTCATAGAAGGAGATCAGGTTTGTCAAGCAAGACCTGCCTTCTATAAACTTATGCTGACTGGGCCTGATCACCTGGTCGTCCTTTACATGCCCTGTGATGGCACTCAAAATTATCTGCTCCCTAACCTTCCCCAGTACTGACGTCAGACTGACAGGCCTGCAGTTCCCCGGATCATCCTTCTGGCCCTTCTGGTAGGTGGGCGTCACATTTGCTAGCCTCCAGTCAACTGGGCCTGGTTGTTAGGTTAGCCAGGACTGCTGAAGAATGACGGAAAGTGGCTTGGTAAGCATGTCTGCCAGCTTCCTCAGTACCCTTGGGTGGATCCAATCCAGCCCCATAGACTTATATGCATGTAAGTGGTGTAGCAGTTTGCTAATCATTTCCGTTTGGATCATGGGAGATTCATTCTGCTCCCATTCCTGTTGTCCAGCTCAGGTGGCTCATGACCCACAGAACAACTAGTCTACTAAAGACCGAGGTAAAGAAGGCTTTAAGTACCTCAGCCTTTTCCTCATCCTTAATCATTATGTTTCTTCCTCACATCCAATAAAGGAAGGAGATTCTCCTTAGTTCTCCTTTTGTTGTTAATGTATTTATGGAAACAATTTTTATTGTCTTTTACAGTAGTAGACAGATTAAGTTCTAGTTGGGCTTTGGCCCCTCTAATTTTCTCCCTGCATAGCCTCACAAAATCTTTCCAGTCTTCCTGAGTGACCTGCCCCTTCTTCCATAGGCCATAAACTTTCATTTTCTTCCTGAGTTCTAGCCAAAGCTCTTAGTTTAGTCAGGCCAGTCTTCTGCCCTGCCAGTCTGTCTTATGGCACGTTGGGACAGCCAGGTCTTAAAGATTGTGCCTTAAAGATTTCCTTCTTGAATAATGTCCAGCATTCCTGGACTCCTTTGCCCTTCAGGACTTCAAAGGGACTTCAAAGCCCTTCAAAGGGACTCTGTCAACCAGGCTCCTGAATAGACCAAAGTCTGCCCTCTGGAAGTCCAAGGTGGTAGTTCTACTAACCCCTCTCCTTATTTCTCCAAGAATTGAAAACTCATTTCATGATCACCATGCCCAAGACAGACTCCAACCTTCACATTACCCACAAGTCCTTCTCTGCTTGCAAACAACAGGTCTAGCAGGGTGCCCTCCCTAGTTGGCACACTCACCACTTGTGTCAGGAGGTTATCTTCCACACACTCCAGGAACCTCTTAGACTGTTTTCTCTCTGCTGTATTGCATTTCCAGTATACATCTGTTAAGTTGAAGTCCCCCAGGAGAACAAGTGGTAGTGATTGTGAGACTTCTCCCAACTGCTAAAAGAATACTTCATCTTCCTCTTGATCCTGGTTGGGGGGTCTATAACAGACTCACACCACGATACTTGTGAGGTATTCAAAAGATGGGCTAACATAGTGTTTAGTGACATGGTTTAGTTTTGGTCCTTTCTATCAGACTTAGGTTGATGGTTGGACTAGTTGACCTTAAAGGTTCCTTCCAATCTAGACAATTCTATAATTCTATGACTCTACATTTGATTTCTATGTGTATCTTCTCTCCTTTTTTTTTCCAAGCTACTCACCCAGATTTATGAGGACTTTTGGAATTCTGCTCCCCAAGATTTCATTTTTTCAAGTGAATGCATTATTTTTAAAAACTGTAACAGGTAAAGCTCCACTAGAAAAGAACTTGTATTTGTAGCAGTCTGTAGTAGCACAGAACAAACATCCCTGGATAAGCAGGATTGATTCAAAGCTCTGCTAAGGACTAGCTGTATCATCATTGGGCAGTCAAAGTCATATGTAGGAAGATTTTGATGGATATGTCAGACAATTAATGCTGGGTTTCCATTAGTGTTTTCCATCCTTTCGTGTTTGACACACAGTATGATAGGGAGGAGAGAGTGCCAGACTACTGCTTGAGAAAAATCCATCTTCTCTGGCTTCCCAGATCCACAGCAAAGCTCTGGCCTCCTTACTGTAGGATGCCATGTGCCAAAAGCAGCTGGCAGGAGGATCACAGATTAATTTGAGCAGGCAGCTGTGCCTGGCACCTCAGATCACATAGTGAACACAGGACCTCACTGCTGCCCTGACATGCAAACTAAAGACACTGCTTGGGGGAGCACGGAATAGCACTAACATAGCAAGTCTCTTATTTTTGGTGTATATATGTGTGAGGATTTTCAGAGAAAAACATACACACACTTGAAAAAAACAAGCAGAACAATACTAAATTAAATACTACTATTTCTGGCTAGCACAGCTGTCATTTAAATCTGTTATCTGCTTTCTTCTTTGACTTTTCTAGCCTGGCTCTCACTTACTGTTTTTGTTCAGGGATGTCTTCCAACAGCATGCAAAGAAAATCCTGGAAAATGAACAAAGCACCACAGTTAGTATGTTTACGAAGACATAACTCTGTGTCTGCATTGCTAGTGGGCAATGGATTTTTAAAGACTATAGATAACAGAATGATAAAAAAGAAGTTTATATAGTCACTATAGTTATTTATACAACATATGTTATGTTTGCCAGTTTTCTAACCCCCTCAAGTAAAAAGTGTCAATATTGAAAAAAAAAGGACTTGAAAAGCCTGCTGACTACTTTAACACAATCCCACTTTCCCACTTTATTTAATCTATAATACACACACACAAACTATATTTAAAACTCTTAAAGGCTGCAGATTCACATACTCAAAGGCTAAGAAACACCAGAATAAAGGTGTTCACACTCTCTCCACTGCCCTTATGTTATCACGCTTTCTTTAAATATATAACCACGTAAGGCTTCTTTTCTTTTTCCTTAATGCAGATACCTGATTGGAAGATCACACCTAGTCCTCATTCCCTGACAAAATATACAATGATGTTGCCAATCACACCAACTAAGAAGTAAGTTCTTTGAAGAAAAGGTAGCTGTAATTTCTTTCATGGATTTACAAAGAAGGTGCAATGCCAATGAACATTACTATCATCCTCACTTATAACATTATGATAAGCCCTCTTTAGAAAGTTACACCTGACATCACTCAAAGGTTCTCTGGCACCCCACGCTATGCATGACCTAATTTTAATGACAATCACTTTGACACAATGCACTCCTCTAAATAACCTCATAAGAAAAGGATTTATTAATATGAATTATTCATTTATATGCGATTTCATAAAGCAATGAATCCAATTTATTAATACTAATCTTTGTGGAGACAAGTTTCATAGCCTAATGATGTTCCTCACTGCAATATGTGACTGCAGGATGATTTCTGATTGCAAGTACTTGCTCTCTAGGGCCTTGAAGAATGTTTCCTAAAACTTTCATTTAGGGACTCTTCCACAGCATTCAGCAGAAGATGCTGTTTCTCTGTCTGATTATGGCATTATTAGGGAACCAAGAAAGAGTGATTGCACAATTGAAACTACTAGTAACATGGCTGAGCCTTCCTCCTTTAGATTGAAAGTGATATTCAGGCTATGATGCAGTGGCTCCAAAATTTGCTTATGGCAAAAGGTAAGTTAAATAGTGCTGGGCTCAGTGCTGCTGTGGCAAGATCATCGTTAACATAATTAACTGTGCCAGTCATCCTGTCCTAACTACAGTGTATTGCTGACATGAACATAAAGCATGAAAATCCCTTATTTCACTACTACTTGCAGTTCTGTACCATTATTCTGTATGTAAACAGAGAACTACTGTCTCTTTCCACTTGCAGTAAAGCTTTGCTGGAGGTAAGCGTACGTGGAAATAAAGAATATGCAAAGATCATCATTAGAGTTGTTTCAAAAGTGTGCAAAAAGAAATACTGAAATACCCTTGACACTATTTTCACCATCACTGTACACGTTAATGCAGGCAGATTCCCCGATTGGATTTTTAATCAATCCCACAGTACACTTGAAGATACCTAGAATCATAGAATCATAATTTTGTTTTGGTTGGAAGAGAAATTTAAAATCATCAAGTCCAACTGTTAACCTAGCACTGCCAAGTTACTGCTAAATCATGTCCCTTAGGACCACACCTAAACATCTTTTAAATATCTTCAGGAATGTCAATACCACTTGCCTAAGCAGCCTGTTCCAGTGCTGGATAACCCTTTCAGTGAAGAAATATTTCCTAATATCCAATCTGAACCTCCCCTGGCGCAACTTGAGGCCACTTCCTTTTGTCCTATTGCTTGTTACTTGGAATAAGAGACCAACCCCCCACCTCGCTACAACTGCCTTTCAGATAGTTGTAGACAACGATAGGGTCTCCTCTCAGCCTCCGTTTCTCCAGGCTGAACAACCCCAGCTCCCTCAGTCACTCCTCATAAGACTGGTCCTCTAGACTCCTCACCAGCTTCGTTGCCCTTCTCTGGACCCACTCTAGCACCTCAATGTCTTTCTTGTAGTGAGGGGCCCAAAACAGGACACAGTACTTGAGGTGGGGACTCACCAGTGCTGAGTACAGAGGTACAATCACTTCCCTAGACTTGCTGGCCACATTATTTCTGATGCAGGCCATTTCTGTTGGCCTTCTCAGCCACCTGGGCACACTGCTGACTCATGTTCAGCCGACAGTTGACCAACACCCCCAGGTCCTTTTCTGCCAGGCCACTCTCCAGCCACTCTGCCCCCAGCCTGTAGCGCTGCATGGGGTTGGTGTGACCCTACCCCCAAGCGCTGCAGGACCCAGCACTTGGCCTTATTGAAACTCATCCTGTTGGTCTCAGCCCATTGATCCAGCCTGTCCAGATCCCTCTGCAAAGCCTTTCTACCCACAAGCAGGTTGACACTCCAGCACAACTCGGTGTCATCTGCAAACTGACTGAGGGTGCACTCAATCCCCTTGTCCAGATCATTGGTAAAGATGTTAAACACAACAGGCACCAGTACTGAGCCCTGGGGAACACCACTTATGACCTGCCACAACTGGACTTGACTCCATTCACCACCACCACCCACCACCTCTTTCTGGGCCCAGCCATCTAGCCACTTTTTATCCCGCAAAGCACAAGCCCATCCAAGCCATGGGCCGCCAATTTCTCCAGGAGAATGCTGTGGGAAACTGTCAAAGGCTTTACTAAAGTCTAAGCAGACAAAATCCACAGCCTTTCCCTCATCCACTAAATGGGTCATCTTGTCATAGAAGGAGATCAGGTTTGTCAAGCAAGACCTGCCTTCTATAAACTTATGCTGACTGGGCCTGATCACCTGGTCGTCCTTTACATGCCCTGTGATGGCACTCAAAATTATCTGCTCCCTAACCTTCCCCAGTACTGACGTCAGACTGACAGGCCTGCAGTTCCCCGGATCATCCTTCTGGCCCTTCTGGTAGGTGGGCGTCACATTTGCTAGCCTCCAGTCAACTGGGCCTGGTTGTTAGGTTAGCCAGGACTGCTGAAGAATGACGGAAAGTGGCTTGGTAAGCATGTCTGCCAGCTTCCTCAGTACCCTTGGGTGGATCCAATCCAGCCCCATAGACTTATATGCATGTAAGTGGTGTAGCAGTTTGCTAATCATTTCCGTTTGGATCATGGGAGATTCATTCTGCTCCCATTCCTGTTGTCCAGCTCAGGTGGCTCATGACCCACAGAACAACTAGTCTACTAAAGACCGAGGTAAAGAAGGCTTTAAGTACCTCAGCCTTTTCCTCATCCTTAATCATTATGTTTCTTCCTCACATCCAATAAAGGAAGGAGATTCTCCTTAGTTCTCCTTTTGTTGTTAATGTATTTATGGAAACAATTTTTATTGTCTTTTACAGTAGTAGACAGATTAAGTTCTAGTTGGGCTTTGGCCCCTCTAATTTTCTCCCTGCATAGCCTCACAAAATCTTTCCAGTCTTCCTGAGTGACCTGCCCCTTCTTCCATAGGCCATAAACTTTCATTTTCTTCCTGAGTTCTAGCCAAAGCTCTTAGTTTAGTCAGGCCAGTCTTCTGCCCTGCCAGTCTGTCTTATGGCACGTTGGGACAGCCAGGTCTTAAAGATTGTGCCTTAAAGATTTCCTTCTTGAATAATGTCCAGCATTCCTGGACTCCTTTGCCCTTCAGGACTTCAAAGGGACTTCAAAGCCCTTCAAAGGGACTCTGTCAACCAGGCTCCTGAATAGACCAAAGTCTGCCCTCTGGAAGTCCAAGGTGGTAGTTCTACTAACCCCTCTCCTTATTTCTCCAAGAATTGAAAACTCATTTCATGATCACCATGCCCAAGACAGACTCCAACCTTCACATTACCCACAAGTCCTTCTCTGCTTGCAAACAACAGGTCTAGCAGGGTGCCCTCCCTAGTTGGCACACTCACCACTTGTGTCAGGAGGTTATCTTCCACACACTCCAGGAACCTCTTAGACTGTTTTCTCTCTGCTGTATTGCATTTCCAGTATACATCTGTTAAGTTGAAGTCCCCCAGGAGAACAAGTGGTAGTGATTGTGAGACTTCTCCCAACTGCTAAAAGAATACTTCATCTTCCTCTTGATCCTGGTTGGGGGGTCTATAACAGACTCACACCACGATACTTGTGTTATTGGCCTTCCCCTTGATTCTTACCCATAAACACTGAACACTATCATCAAAACGCTCCCTAACATACACATTCCACCGCCTCTCCTTCCTGGCCTGTCACTTCTGAAGAGTTTAATAGCCATTCAATGCAGCACTCAGTCGTGCACATCATCTTACCATGCTTCTGTGATGGTGACTACATCTAGTTTTCCTGCTGCACAATGGCTTCCAGCTCCTCCTCTTTGTTGCCCATGCTGCATGAATTGGTGTAGATGCACTCCACTTCTGCTATTTGTCATGTCATCTTTTTGTGGGGAAAAGCTCTGATTTCTACTTGACCATTTCCAGGTGTTTCCTTGATTTCTAGCCCATCAATATCCCTTGTATCTTTGCCATTGCATGGCACTCCATCCCCTACCTCCACTTGGATGGCAGACTGAAGTGGTACCTCTGATATTTGAAGTGTTTTTATATTCTTTATACTATACTATGAAATTAATCATCTTCATGATTAAAGCTATCTTAATTTTCCCAAATATCTATTAAGAATAAGGCAGTAACTTTCATTCTACACATTTTGTTAAAATCAGGATTAATCTATTCTATCTTATTTTAACTGCTTCTATTTTGATGCTCCAAAACAGAGTAGGAAAACAAATTACCACTTATCTCATATTTGCATGTCTTTTAACATTTGCCTGTTATCAAGTCTGCATGACACATCCCATTACCATTCTGACTTTTCAGTTCCTTATAATTTTGCCAAACTTTAACCATCTGGAGTAAAATTTTATCCTCAGGTTATTTTTATTTTTCTTTCTCAGATGAAATGGTTCAGAAGTGTCCAAGAGAAAAGTTAGAGGATAATGTGGGGTTTTTTAA